ATTGATTAATGTTACAAAACTTTATTTAAGCTCAAATAAGCACTACAATAGTAATGTTCCAAAAAACAGGCAGACACAATCTGTACAAATTATCCACCTAAATACTACAGTAAAGTTATTTGCTTCTTTTACTTGGTTTTTCAGTCAATGTGTACTAAATAAATCAAAAATAGCAATGCGAAATAATATTGGCCGTTCATACAGTAAATACCAAAGGAATATTAATTTAAATGTAATAGCTTCACGTGAAATGTATAACATATGCATTTTTATATATTTTATGTCATCGAAATAATAGTTAATATTTGCTCTTAATTCTTCACACTCGTTGGTGATATTCTTATGATATCTTTTGAAATATCTTCTTCAAATAGAAACGATTTGTATCTTATTTCAATCACGGAACTACAACACAAACTGTTCAAAAGAATCTTTGAGTGAGTATGCCTATTGTTCTGCTTAATTTTTAATTGAAGATAATTAATTGTTCTTGGATTTGGATTTTAATTGTATGTTTTCTGCGAAATTTTTTTCAATGTGGCAATGTGTTTTTTAAACAGGAAACTCTTACATATTTTTAGTTTTTTTTTTATTGGACCAAAACAATAAATAATTGAAAATTATTTTTAGGTAAAATACATACAATTTTTAAATTTAAATATCAAAGGTTTAAATGAATACACAATTCTAAAAAAAAAACTAAAAATTAAAAGAAAAAACATAAAGCCCCGCACATTTTTTGTTAGCTATTGCGATGTCCAAATTTTGACGACGTTGGATATTCAAATATACAATAACGATGTCTGTTATTTTGTAAATACCTATTCAGTAAATTATAATCGTAGAAACTCGAAACATTGCGGTTGCACTGTTACTTAAATTATCATTTTTTATACCCACTTAAAATTTCAAAATATATATGAATATAAAAAGTTATTTTATATTTATTTGAGTTTTTCGAATTGTGTTAAGTTTTTTTTTCAGAATCAGTAACAAGCTTTGAAATTCAATACAAGATCTCATATACATCGGCGCATAGATACTGTACCTAATATACATAGTACACCTATATACAGAAGCGTATGCTGTAAACTGTAGATTGTAATTACAGTACATTTTAGTAAATGCTAATAAAAAAATAGTTTAACATGTATTAAGCAGTACAATTTATACTATTATTTTAAATTTATTTCTAAATTTTGACGAACAACGTATTTTAATATTTATTTTAACATTTTTATTCTAACTTGGTACTTATATTATAGTATATTATTTTTTTCTAATTTTCGAAATCAGGTATTTTTGATATTTGAATAGTTATATTATAAATAATTTAATAATTGGGTAAATGAATATTAACTTTGATATGTTTTTGTTTTTATTTACAGACAATGAAGTTTCTTTATTTGGGTACCTAAGCAATAAATTGAAAAGTTCTCGGAATTTCGATTACTTGACTCGCATTACCATAGTCAGTAAGGTCGGGTGCGGTTGGAGTGGCCACGATTTAATGCGGCAGTTGCATCGTTACATTTAGTGATTATAAAATATATTTCGAAACGGATTTTCTGATACCTACCTTTTTAAATCGCACAATTCGCATTATAAGTAATGATGTTACTATTGGTATACATGAACACAAAGACTTATATTATATGCTTGGAGCATCCGTCTTGCCTATTTGATATCTTTGTTATTAAACGATCAGTAAAGTTTTAATAATTGTTAATATTTTTATTCCCGGGGGCTAGTTAAGTTTCATTTTTAAATTATAATTAATTAATTATTTATAAATTTATAATATAAGTTTTTCCGCTTACCAAGCTTAAAATACCGTCGGGCGCACGCCACTGAATATTATAGTAATTAGTAAAGTTCTACTTCAAATAATTTGTTTTGAAAATAATCATACCATAAAATGTTTACTTTTATTCCAATTATTGTGTAATATTAAACTTTGGATACATACATACATTTTTTCTCATTTTTTTAATTTGCACATTTGTATCACAATTTTCATCATCTACCTGTTTGTTCTTATTTTCTTAAAGACTATAGTATAATAGTAATGTAGTATATTCAGTATTACGCGTTCACAAGCGACTCAAAAGTCATCAAAATCCCCTTACAAAGGATCCCTCCATCCTAACAGTACCAGAGAATCCTCAACAAGTATATAGGTACGCCAAAAAGAAAGATTGATCGCGAATTACGACATATTAAAGTTAATGAAAAGTATAAAAAAAATCATTAATATAGAGTAGTAAGAAAAAAACACGAATCAGGATAAATGTTACAAATGGGTGGAATTATAAGCCCCTTCATGTCGACTCCCACCCTTAGCATATAAACTTGTTGTGAGATTTGAATCTTATTTATAGATTGTTAAATGTTGATTTTCGTTTGCGAATTTATATGAACGGCTAATGTATTAATGTATAATTGAGAAGATTAGAACAATTAATCACATAAATATTTATAGGTACTGCTCGGTTTTATTCTTGAAGAAATGTAAATTAAAAAAAGTTAGAAACTGGGTATGAAGCTAGGTACTGTAAATAATATAAATAAATTATTATCGGAGAAAAAAAAAAATTTTAGGTTTCTTAATACTTATCAATTTCAAAAATGATAATTAAAAATTTTTTCTTAGATACTTCAGATCACTTCTTATCTTGAACCCCACCATTAACGGATGTTTATTAAAAATAAAAAATAAGTAATTTAATATTTATTAATTTGTTTTCAAGTTTAGTGATCGTGTCAGCCAAGGGTATTCCTATGACCTATAGTGCGATCAACGACGTGGGGTCAAAGGTGTAATTTCTCTAGGTATATACTCACCTGACAACCTGTACTACCTAAATTTGTTTCTAAACCAGAAATGAATCTTAAATCTAAATACGAGTAGGACTAGATTATATGACTATCGACTTAACACGCATACAAAAAACAGGCATGCAAATGAAAAACGCTAAAAGTCAACCTTGATCATGAGATCGGTTAGGTTAGTACAAATTATACATTTTGATATTTTACAATACATACTTATCTTGATCACGTATAAACTAATCTTATCAAAAATGGTATGAATATAAATAGTTACCTATAACACAGGTGAATATTCAATTGCATCAAAATTATAATCTGAGTTGCTCTAAGAGATTATTGTGTACTCACTCGACTTTTTTTCGTTTAATAATAACAACTTATGAGGAACCAAAGACGTATTCAAAAATCAGGAACCCTGGTGCTAGTTCCCCCCCCCCCCACCACAAAAATCATTTGACTTTTTACATCTACGTCGGAGCTTACTACCTCACGTCGACCAATCGTTATTACGGCGTGTATGTTATCGACGTTATCGTTATCCTTTCTGGGCTTCTGGTATATTAAGTAAATCACAAATATATTGTAGGTTTATGTATTATCCACTTATTACAAAACAATAAATATTTACAGTTTATATACCTACATTACATTTTTTATAGCTTTAAAGGAACTGTACTCATCGATCATCATCATTCATCAGTATGATCTAAAATGTTTGCATATAATAGGCCAGTTGTTGTTACAACCTTAGAATATTATTGATAAGAAAAAAATTAACCAATTTACGTAACGGTTCATTAACAGAGAACGGGTAATATAAAAATCTGATGTCGCCTTGTGCGATCGCCCCCTCTAGCCTCCCCCCCAGATACATTACAATGAGGAACCTTGCATTACATTGTCAAAAAGATCGGTCATAATTGAAACTACGTTTTTAATTTTTTTTCCACCTTTTAAAAATAATATGTCCTACCTATATACTCTTATATTTTTTAGAAAATATGTCATGTTATTTAACTTTTTATTTTTATTTTTGTTTTTTATCACTTTTTGTTTATAACAACTATTGGCAATCTGAATTATTTTAAACAGACCCTTAGTGGTAATTATAGGTCATATTTACCATACATAATTAGATATAAAAGCTTGTATAATTGAATGATGTTTTACTAGGTAATATATATAATTTCTATATAATTATATTATATATATATTATTATATTATTTATATTATATATTTCAATTAAATATATAAAACATATAAGTATGAAATGTGCCGAGAATACCGATAAAAAATAAACATCCTTTTTGGAATAGCTAGGTATGTGCACGAAAATTTCAAGCTTTACATTGAATATAGGGACCTGCTGAATTGTTTAACGTTAAATGGTTACTTACGGCTTAAGTTAGAAGCGTTGGTACCTTGGTATAGCCAGACTTTGTATCCGAGTAAACGATCAATGCCAATTTGAAACGTAATCATTACCTTGGAACAAAATAATTTTAAATATTTTGATCTTAAGCTGAAATACAGCTAGTAATATGTTGTCAATTACCTCGGATGTTTTTTAACATCAAGCGTTCATATATAACATCGCGCCGTAGAGCATCATACCAACTGTAGGTGTCAATCACACAGTGAATATTACCCTTTAGTATAATGGCCAATGGAATAAATTATGGAGTATAAACAAACAATGTTGATGTTTAGTACTTTTTATAATATTCATATTTATTTGTTGAATTATTATTATTATTATCATCATCGTTATGATATCTACATTTTAAATTGTTATCAAAAATTACCTTATGAATAACAGTCTCAACTCTTAGTTATTCCATAAAAAATTAATAATTCACTACAGCCATGTCAGACGACAATAAAAACATAAATTATGAGTATGGTGGGGGGAGGGGTGTACTGTATATAAGACCAGTCAATGAACAGAGGCTATTACATAGAATATAAAACTGTACAGTTCCGCTGTTTGGAGATACAGGGGAAATGTACTTAATATACACGTAGATAAATATATTATGTTAGCCATAACATACTTAAATAATAATATAACTACAAAAATTAAAGTTAATGAAAAATAAAATGAAAATCTTTTGTAAAAATTAATAACTACTTAAGAATAACCATCAAATGCTTTGTTAATATTTTGCACATAAACAAGAAATTAAATATATAAAATAATAATAAAATATATTACACAACATTATTTATCTCAATGCGTTGATAACAAGTTATAAAACAATATACACTAATATTTAATAGTTAACAATGTAGTAATGTACAAGGATTTTCTTAAAAACTAAATTATAAACAATTTGTAATTTTATGCATCTTCCTCGTCTGAGACGTAATCATAGCTTGAGAAAAACATATCAAAATTCGCCAACAAAAACCTGAAATTTATTTTTCATAATTATTTTAATGTTAATTAGTATATAATACATAATATTTTCTTTTATTATTTAACCCGCGGAAACATAGGGCATTGGAAGTTGGTTATAATTTTGTTTTTTTTTTACTGTAAGGGGATACAGTTGGTTCGGTTACACGTGTATAACCCTAGAATACGACACTAATATACCCGGGTGGTCACCCATCCGGGAACTAGTGACGGCTGATAATTGTCCTCAACACAAGTTATTGACTACGCCCAACCAGAGTGCCTCGCCAGGCCCCATCATACTTATATTGAATACTACCAACTAATTGGTTACTTTTAACCATCTTCGTTAGATATCATTATAAATATTTTCAACATTATTTGTTTAAATGAAAAATCCAAAAATAAAAACTTACTGGCACAATTGTTTGATATGAAGAACAAAGCTATCAATTTCGTACTCAGGATCCAATGGGTAAGATACCACAATTTTTGGCAGTCGAACTGAAAAATAGGTATAAAAAGTTCTTGTGATAAAATGATTGTGAAATACTTTAATTAATTTTATTCAGTTTTACTTAAGAACAAATTTTGGGTATCAAATGATCAAATAAATTGATAAATATTTTTTTAGTTAAGGGTGCCAGGTTAGGTTGTCGATGCCAGTTTTTTCAACTTTTTGCAATTTTATAAAATTTGAAAATTTGAAAATTATATTTTATGTTTTAGTTTTTAACTTAACTACAATACAAAAGTTTTATATCAACAAAAATGACTCAGTTGGCAAAACTATCACGCCTTAAGGACAAGTCGAATTTTGATTTTTTTTTTTTAAACGTGAAGAATTTTTTCAGGAAACATCCAATTTGCTCCAATTTTCATTTTACTTTAAATAGTGCTAGAAAAATACGACTGAAAAGTAACGAATATTGCACATTATTCAAATGCGTATTTAAGCTTCTATAATTATAATTTTGAAAATCGGAAATCTGCAATATGTTCTATTCTTTAAGTCATGTTTTGCACCGGCTTTGACATCCTTAAGACACTTTATATACATCTTATTTGTTTTTTTTTCCTTAATAGGCAAGAAATGTACTAACTACTAATACTATTTTTAATTAAAGCTAAATTCATCTTAAAATAGAATCAATAAAAAAGTTACTTCATACATAATACTATAGGCTTGAGTAAGTCTTATGGAATGGACAAACTTAATACCTAGGATGACACATAGTTATAAGTATGAAAAATAAAATTATAACTTGGGACGTTAATGCTAATGAAAATATATTTTAACTATACAATTAAGACGTATAACATTTTTTTTTTTTATTGATCAAATTACCATCGGCTGAATCCACTTTGTAATTTGGAGGTAATTATGTCATAGTACAAATAAGTGTCATGAACACAAAAACATTGTGATGGCAAAAATATTAAAAATACAATATTCATATACAACATAGGTAGGTACAAAGTACACTTATATTACACACAATTTATTAATAATTTTAAAAAAAGTAAGGCATGAAAAATATTAAACAATTGTTCAAACCGCCGCGTTTTTTCCTCGAACCGGTCCGCGTGAGCGCGTGGTGGACGAGGAATATTCGAGAACTTTGCCCGTATCGCTCATTGTCGCGCCTTGTTCGTTATCACCGGCCGGCCTTTCGCTGGTCAAACTAGTGTGTACGCGACAACGAGTGAGTGAGTCTGCCGTAAGCAGCTGTCGTGACTTCTATAGTTTTTGCGTCGCGCGTCGGACGACGTCGCTGAAACCCACAGCAGCAATGCGAAATCACGTGTTTCTTTTGCACGGCGCGTTCGGTCGAATTGACATATTTTCTTCCGTCGCCGGACGCATCATACCGTTGGAGTGAAATACGCACGCATACGACCCGTATTAATCGTCTTCCGCGAGTGAGACATATTCCAAGGAGTCTGCGTTGGATTCGTCGCACTCGAACGTGGGTGGTTTAGCGGTCTAATCGTATGCGTCGTCGTGTGCGATTCTGGTGAGCGGTTCGTCGGGTGCGACTCGTTGCGTGCGTTAATTGGAGGTGCACATAGGCCGGCGTCGACACCATCACTTTCCACCGCTGCATAAGCCGGCGTTTACACCGCCACTCTCCGCCGCCACCACGGTCACTCGCTGCCACCGCGAACGACGGCCGCGTTTATAAATACGATGAATATAGGTCAACGGCCGCTCAGTCAGCTGCCCATTAGCGCGTTCCGGTACAACAACTGGATGCAGTGATAAGTCCTATCTTTCTATTATTTTTCGTATATTATATTATTATATTTTGTGTATTTTGTTGTACCCTTTTTACTATTTAATTATTATTAGCAGGAGACGTCCTCATCGTTATAATTTGTATTATTATTAATGTTATTTGCAACGATCAATACAATGTTGTGAAGCAACAATTCTCACATGATATTATTATTATTTTTTATTTATTAATATTGTAAGTGGTAAAAACCGTTGTACGGTGCGAGTTGTCGGGTCAACTGTTCACAAGAGCTCGACAGCGTAGACAATAATAATTGTACATATTGTAAAAAACAAAAAATATATTTTATTTTTATATTTTACTATGAAAGTTACACGAAATTCCAAGCAGGTAGTGGTTGATTGATCGATTTTAATAATCATCACTTACAGTCAACTCGCGATATAATGAATTTCAAGGGACCAAGAAAAAAATTCGTTATATCGAAAGTTCGTTACATCGAAATTCGTTATATCAAGAGAATATACCTATTGAATTCGTTATGACGATATTTAAAGAGATTGTACATATTTATTTAAAAATTGTATTATTCGTATACATATGTATAAAATATATGAGTCATAAAAGTATGTATTTATTCGACATAAGTCTTATCTTAATTGCGATACTGTACTTGAGTGTCCTATCGCATGATAATCATCAGAAAAACTTCGTAATCTATTATGTGGTAATACCAACATACTTATTTTTATATATCTTTCATAGAGTTATACACTAGATACATGTACATTATCTTAATTAAAATTAAAAATTCATAATAAAAAGCTCCAAATTTATAAAAATTCGTTACATCTCGAGAGTTTTGATCAAAAACGCTTCGCTACATCGAGGGGACCAAAATACATTACATTTGTTCGTTATACCACGATATTTTCAAGGGACCGGTAGTTTTATTCGTTATATCGAGATTTTCGTTATATCGAATTTCGTTAAATCGCGAGTTGACTGTATTATGGCTTTAAGTAATATCGCAGAATCGATGTACTTTTTCTTTGTCGGAGGTTTTATGCCAGCAAAACACTGTTTAACTTTTAGGTGGCTTAAGATTTCTTCCTTGTTCAATGAATCGATAAAAATCCAGACGGAAGGATGACGAGAGCTTAAAATTTATCTAAAACAATCATGCCAATCCTCGATCGAATTGTTCGATTAACTTTTGAGATATCGTCTACATGGTTATGTTCTGTATGAACTACATTTTGCCCAAACGAATGCAATCGACTACCACATGTTTTTGTAATATATTCTATGCTCCTCCAAATAATTTTGTTTTCTCCCCCTTTTTTATTTAAAAAATAATTGACTGAGTACTTTTCATTATTTTGGTTTATTATATACTAGAATGACATGGTGTATGGATTATATCTAGATTTACTGTGATGGCGAGTTTCTGCTGTGGTAGCAGATTACACACTATAATATGTACACTGAACTTAAATTTTGTAAGTATCTCACTATGACAATTAAATCTAATCTAATCCTACTGACGACCGAACGAAAATCGGAACTGTGAATCACACGACGACTACGGCGATATTTTTTTTGCGACATAATTACCACACCACATAGGCTACTAGGTCATTAGTTACATTGTAATTTAAATATATTTTAAATTATAGCTAGTGCTTATATTGTTTTATAAATCTATTTCCTCCATGAAGTTGATGATGTTGACATATGATTGTAATACAAATTTATATACGTTCTTAAGGTTAAAAATAAAAAAATAAAATTGTGTTTGATACATACCAATCAGTCTTAGAAGATATATGGGACCATACACATAACACCAGATTTTTTTTGGATTTAGTTGATTTTTATATACATAGCAGATGTCTGGCCGATTTGCCATTCTTTGTCGAAAATGTGCCATCCCCTAAAACAGACAATATAATACGTCATATCTTTTTTTTTTTTAATTTGTTGTTTAGTAATTTTATTGTTAAGAACAAAAATCTTGTTTTTATTATTGCAGTAAGGCTAAAATAAAGGCATAAATTCGAATACAATAAAACTGGTATATAATACGAATAAAACTTTATAACTGGTAAAAATGTTAATTATCAAATGCGTGTTCTGCTGAGTGTACAATTTACTATGTTACGCACTTTTAAGACGGAGACAACACATGCGGGCATCACGTCCTCTTAAGGAAAAAAACATGCAAATGCATATAAATCCTAGCCCTACTAATGAGTAATAACTAATAACAATATAAAATATTCAAAACTGACATACAGTCCCCGCTCAGAATCGTTTTTCATACACAATGATATAATATCGTTGAATTGAAATTTAATACCATCCATATTACATTGCTGAAAACAGACGTGCATTTTTATTTGAAAATTTATCCAAGTCTTTAGTGGTCAACTGTATCTCTCTTTTCAGGTAACTTAGAAATTATATAAAAATATACTAAAATTATTTTAATTGATTTAAGTTCATGAATTTTTATTTAGATGAATGAATGTTCCAAATGCAACACACATTGTACAAAATACAGTAAAATTTTTTCGATTTGGCATTTAATATACTATTTAATGAATTATATAATTTGTTTTAACTAAATTAATTTAATTAACATGTACTTTAGTTTACTTATTTTTGCATATTTTAAGTACATATGTTAATGAGAATCAGTGCATAAAAACATACATATTTCGTACATTTTTGTGCATATAATTCCGGGGCCCTAGAAATAAGTAATGAAAAATTGATCACAATATTATTATTATATAATAATATTTTTATTTTTATGATATTAATATTTTATAATAATAATATTGTGATACATTTTTCATTACTTATTTCTATAAATAGTAAATACCTACTATTATAGACAGTATAATCATAGAAATATGGATATTTAAGAAAACTGCATATCATCATTGTGTAAGAATATCTACCAATAAATATATTAATAAAGTTCAGTTTTTAGTAGTGGTGCACCACCAACTATTTTACCCACGAGCCGTCACTGTGTTTGATTTGAATTTAAAGACAAATTATTGTATGCAAAATACAATTCTGAAAAGAGTCCTCAACACTCAACCTATATTACCAAGTATAATAGATTATGTATTTATATTTCTATTAAATTAGTATACTATTATAGCTAATATTATAGGATTAATTAATTTTACTAGAACTATGAAATTTACTATATAATCAATTCTTATAGTAGTATATATTCATATCAATAATTATTGACTATTGTTATGTTTACAGTAGGAGGGTATGAATAGGTTTGTGGTATAACGTATAAATAAGCAATACATTATTCTAAATATTCAGAAAAGTGCACGGTGTATACTTAAATAAAATAATATAGGTAATATATTATTTTCTAGTCCTTAAAAAGACTTATTTAGATTATATGAAAGTAACTAACATTGAAAATTTAAAAAAAAAATGGAACCTTGAATCATATTTGCTAGCCTTTGCTGTACAAATTGAACATTTTATAAATGGTATGGCAAAGAATCATTTTGACAAATTTCTTAAAGTTAAAACTTTAGAATCTAATAAAAAACATAGTGATTATGTGTTTTTGATACTTTGCATATGCAATGAGAATACCATTTAAGTAACATTGTATTCAATTTTCACCATACAAAAATTAATTTTATCGTACTTAAATCACCATAAACTAAAAAGACACATTTAAAAAAATTTATAAATAGCACAGAAAGACAAAAAAAATTTTTAATTATACCAAAACGTCTAATAATAGCATATACTTTTCAATATATTTGGCCTGGTTAATATTTTGAGTTTGACATGCCCGATGTACAAAAACACAAAAATGAAAACATTAATTGCTCCACTCAGATTCTTGAGAACATTTTTTGTTCTTAAAGTTTGAATTATTTTAAAATGGAAATCATTCATACATGACCTAATAAGGTTTAATTATAATTTAACATGATCAATTTTTTATCATTACCTTATTCTGTAATTGTGTTATTATCTCCCTCTTGAATATGAGGTGTGTGTGCACTGTTGAATTAAAATATCCTATTAATGTAACTGGAAACATAATTGAATATTTGCTAAAACAAATAAATAACCCATTAAATTTTTATTTCTAATACATTTATTTAGTTATTAAATAATTACTTTTGGGTATCTACAAAATACGAAGATTTTGTGAACTTATGCAAAACTTCAGCCACAAAATTATCCTCAGGAAACTTTACTGTCTAAAACCAAGAAATCCATATTAAAATGATATAATCATGAGTTATAAAAACAAAATGTAGCTTACTACTTTTACGTGGCCTGTCTCGTGAACCGAGCGATCGAAGTCTAAGGCGTCTTTCAAAATAAGTGGAATTTCAAATTTACTCAACTCATTTGCAAGAAGCTAAAATAATAAAAAAATTGTAATTAAATAAACAATTTAGTTTTTAACACTATTTGTTATAGGTACCCTTGAACGAGGAATTATGTTTAATTGACTATTAGCAACAGCTTGAACAGCTGCTTCATCTTCTATCGCTGGGAGTGCTATGTCTTCTAAAGGTGAGATCTCTATGTCTTCTAAAGCTACAATTTCGGTGTCTTCCAAGGCTGGGATAGCTAAATCCTCTAAGCCCGGGATTTCTCCGTCTTCGAAAACTGGGATTCCCCCGTTTTCGAAATCTGAGATCGTTATGTTTCTAATTTCTTCGAATTCTACAACAGGGATGATTTCATTTTCTACAGCCGAGATCGCTTTGCCTTCTTTAATTGGAAATGCTTTATCTTCCACAACTGGGATGACCTCGTCTTCTACTGCTGAGATTTCTTCGTCTTCTTCAATTGGGATTTCATCGTCTTCCACAACTATTATGATTTCGTATTCTGCATCTGAGACTGCTTCGTCTTCTTCAATTGGGGTTGCATTGTTTTCCACAACTGGGATATCTTTGTCTTTTTCAATTGGGATGACTTTGTCTTCCACAACTGAGATGACTTCGTATTCGACAACTGGAAATACTTCGTCTTCTACAGCTGGGATGGCTTCATCTTCTTCAATTGGGATTGCTTGGTCTTCCACAGCTGGGATGACTTCGTCTTCTTCAATTGGGATTGCTTGGTCTTCCACAGCTGGGATGACTTGGTCTTCTACAGCTAAGATTGTTTCGTCTTCTACATCTAAGATTGTTTCGTCTTCTTCAATTGGGATTGCTTTTTCCTCCACAAGTGGGATGACTTCGTCTTCTACAGATAAGGTTGCTTCGTCTTCTTCAATTGGGATTGCATTATTTTCCACAACTGGGATGGTTTTGTTTTCTATAGCTGGAATTGATTCATCTTCTTCAATTGGGATTGCTTTGTCTACCACAAGTGGGATGACTTCGTCTTCTACAAATGAGGTTGCTTCGTCTTCTTCAATTGGGATCGCATTGTTTTCCACAACTGGGATGGTTTTGTTTTCTACAGCTGGAATTGCTTCATCTTCTTCAATTGAGATTGTTTTATCTTCCACCACTGGGATATCTTTGTCTTCCACAACTGGGATTGTTTCATATCCAACTGGATCTTTTTTATCCTCTCCAGATGTTTTTGCAGGCTTTTCAATATTTTTTCTGGGCCTGCCTAGTTTTAACGAAACATTGCAATGAAAAATACGAAATATAAAATAAATATTGAACTAAAATATATACCTCTTTTTCTTGGTGGTGGTTTTGATGCACCATCTTCGGCATCGTTTGAGTCTTGCGATTTTTGAGATCGCTTTAACAACCGCTTACATTCTCGACTATATACAATAAAACAAATATTTTTTTTAAATAAATGGTGATAAGTGAGTAGTAATAATTTATCAATTTCTTACCGATTAGATACTAATCTTTCCTTGTGACCAATATTTATTTCATTTATTTCTAATATCTCATCCTGGTCGGTCCACTCATCCCACTTAGCTTTGAACCCTATGTAATGTATATAGTACTGAAGGTAACCATCATTCGTCACTCGTCTTTTTGTACACTTGGCTTCATAAAGTAATCCGTCATAGTAGGCAAACACTTTGTCACCTAATTAAAAGTAAAACATTATAGTTTAGAAATCAAAACTACATTTTATGCTGAATTATTATTCAATTTGCATGTGTTGAAGAGAATATGGAGTCCCACTAGGAATTTGATTTATATGCAATACAAAATGCTGAAATATGTTTTTTATAAATATTTCCAAATATGCGGTAAAACATTCACAAGCTTGGGAATAGGGCCTGGCAAGGTCACGCCTACCAGTGGAACAAAATATGACGTTATCATTAAATAAGAATTTGAAAATCAAAGCCAAAATATTTTAATATGTTAGTAAATGTTATTATTAATTATTTATTTACTATTAATCATTATTAGATGAAGGTTGATTGAAACTGTTATAAATTTAACACTTTTATAATAAACCTTTCCGCCTAGTATAATAAATAGTGGAGTAGTGAGTATTTCAGTAAATATTGTTCTATCGCGCATAAATATAAAAATTATTACAAGTAGACATGTATGTAACAATATTTAATATTAAGTTTTAGTCAGTAAGTCTTATTAGATGTAGCAAAACAAAAACTAGGTTAAGCGATAATATATAAGTACGAGACAATTGTGGGGTCATAGTGATAATCGGTGTGACTCGATTTCCACCAGACATTAGTGTTTATGAAATGTGCTTATAGTATTATTTGTTTGTTTATTGTGTACGTCGAAGTAATAGACGTATACGACAAAGTGACATCCAACTCGTGGCTCGTAACTCTACGACAATTGTGTGTGTGTGTGTGTGCATTGATTTTTTGAAGTTACGGGACTATATCAACCTTAGCACGTTATTAATGTTTTTTGTGAGTGTTTATTCGGGTATATTAACCTTTTTGCATAATTTTTGTAAATACAAGTCTTTGTATTGACATGTGAGCATGAAGACGATATTTTGTGTTTCCGTGTATGTGTGTAGTGTACATGCAATTTTGGATTTACCTTTACGTGTGGGTATTGAATATGTGAAACCAGTTTGGACTTGTTGTGCATGTACTCAATTTGACGAGTGGATTCAATTTTTGGTCAACGGGTACTTCAACGACTACCTATAATGCAGTATTGCGTATTTTGAGAGTAGTTACTTACGTAGCGAAGTACAACATGTCAACACGTGTGGGTGACTTAACTTTTAAAATTTAATACTTTTTATTTTTTGTCATGTTTATGTATTAAAAAAAAAAAAACAAAAATTTGTAACTACATTAACTACATATTTAACACTAAATTTTGAATTGCACATAATAAACTTAACCTTTCATAATAAATACGTATTTTGTGCATCTTTTTACTATGAGTTGATGCTGAAATACTCGTAATCGTTATACAGACAATACTGCTATTTTAATTTGTAGTTATTAAAGATTGGTTTGATCATAACTTATTAAAATTAAATTCAAATAAAGCCAAATATATTCACTTTAATATTAACTCAGATGTAATTAGTCCAGAACTAAAATATATGCATACATTCATCGAAGTGTCAATCTAGTAACTGTGATAATTGCGCTATTCTAGAGAATGCAAATACTATAGTATTTAGGCCTCACTTAAGACAATTAACTTAAAATATGTAATTATCATATTAACAATATTACAAGCATTCTTCAAAATGTTGTGTAGTGTCTTTTATGATTCACGGCATTTATTTGATATTTATTTAAAACGAACAATTAATTGAGCTTTACTTCAATCTATTTTATAGCATGGTATTGTCTTTTGGGGACAATAGTATGAGTCTCGTATTTATTCTTTAAATATTACTTTAAATAATGTAATCAAATTTATATTTGATATACCTAGGCTTACCAACAATGAGTTTGTATACTATTTAATATTTAATGTTTATACAATAAAAACCCATAATATTTATGAATCATATTTAAAATAAACATTATGAAACAAATATTAATTTAAATATACCTCTTTACCACAACAATTTTGACATGAAAAGTTCTATTTCAATTGCAATCAAATGATGTAGAATACTTAGAATATATATATATATATATATATATAACTTTAATAATGTAAATGATTTTAAATTGTACTTAAATAATGTTGGTCTTATACAAATTAATTTACGTTTAATCACAAATTCATGTAATTTTGTAACTATATTTTATAAATGTTTATTATTGTCAATAATTGAATTCAAATAAAACTCCCCAACACAAGCTATGTTTATAGAGGAGTTACAAATATATTAACTATGTTTTTTTCTGCCTATACAAATTATTAGATTTTTAGAAATATATAAGTTATATTAAGTTCATAAATTTATCAAAATATTTTATCTAATGCAATTTTTAACATACCTATATTATATGTATTTAATTATATATGCACCTATCAATATTGTGAAATTATAGTGACCTAATAGTTAATACTGTATATTATTCTATAATGCTACATTGAATGTTTTTAGTCTTCATTATTAATGTTAATGTTTTCCTAATGTTAAATTTTAAATCCTAATAAAAAATTGTTATTATTATACGTTTTTTTGTTGATGCAACGTATTTCTCGTTTCAATGTGAAACTATTAGTTCAATCCATTGTTATATGGTTGGTATATAAGCAAACTATGGTGATTATACATTTATAAGTATTGTATATAGCTTTTAAAAAACACCTTTCTTTCGTAGCATCTTTAACTATATTTTATTATTTATGAACAAAATTACTCTAAATTCCAACTTTAATTGAAAAATATTGTTTTTTTTTAATCATTTGCAACCATGTTGTCATACATTTATCTTATACCCTTATTTTTTACTTGGGTTTTATAGTTTTTTTTTATCAATTATATCTATATTTTCACAGGCTTATATAATTTTTTAGCCTTGGTATTAATAATTATTGCAATATAATTAAATGATTGTGACAAAATAACAGATGGGGACATTCAAAATACAATCATCCATCGTTCATCACAGATATACTGAAACACAAAAATATTCTACCAATCTACACACCACAATTCATAACCACCCATATGATCCAACGATTACAGTTTATTTTTGGATGATGACTACCTATTAAATTAATATTCAACTACCACTTCTTTGGAAAAGATCAATAAATCTACAGGATAATATTGAAATTGGTAGCCATATGCCGACAGGGAAAATTGGCATGAGTGATAATGTACATATATTCGTAATATATATATATATCATATGAATATGTATAGATATTTCATCTATTGAGTTATTTTGTAAACATTGCCCAATTGGCATATGAGTGCAACTTCAACGTTCCGGTAGGAATGTAATATGAAGTCTGCTATATAGTTGTTTTATATGTATTTGGTTGTATCATGCATAAGTATAAAAATCATCAATATTAAAAATATGAACTAGGTTGAGTAAACATGTATGAAACATTATTTAGTAATAATTCTTAGTCAGAGTTATAGCAGATGTAGCAAAACAAAATCTAGGTTAAGCGATAATAAATGTCATAGTATGAGACAAATGTTTGGTCAGTAGTGGTGATTGTGTGACTCAATTACCACCAGACACCAGTGTTTATTAAATATGCTTAAAATATTATTGGGTATGTCAAAGTAGTAGGCGTATATGACAATATTGTGAGGTCAAATTTAAAATATAGGAAGTATATTCTACTTAACAATTAGCAGTGTTGGGTAAATTACTTTTAAAAAGTAATCAAGCAACTTTTAATCATTACATAGAGATAAATGTAATTGAGTTACTTAAATATAATTGTATATTTTCAAATAGAAAAATATTCTTGTTCCAAAAAAACTGTTAATTTTTTAATTTCTAAGCAATTTATTGTCATCCTACAAGAAACCTAACTAGAAATACACTATACTAAATAAGAATAATTTTAAATAGATAATTATAATAGATACAAAATATAACATAACACGGGTACATGATACTAGCAGTCAACTGATAGTCCGACACCAAATTCGGAATAGCAATTAACAACCTTCAATTGTGTTATTAAATATCATATAAAAATAAAATCTTAATAATTGTTTATAAATTATAACTTAAAAAAATAAATTGTTTCTTATAAAGAGGCAAATGCAGTGCTGGATAAGCCACTGGTGCAAGCAGTGAATTGCACCGGGGCCCAGACTCTTTGAAATATTTGGAGGGCCCCGATATTACAGATATCAAAGTACATACTAAAAAATAAAATCGATACTTGGTAAAATTTATTTTTTGTTTTTTTTTTAAATGGTGTGTTGGATTTTGGTTTGAAACTATGTTTAATAATTTATTCCCATCAGTGATAAATTATGATGGTGATTGTCATACATCACACTATTAAAAAAACGTCATTATCATTCGAACCAGCACACTTTTATACATTTGTTTGGCACAGTCTTCAAGAATAATTATACAGTATACTGCACTCACTGATATTCATCAGTAACGTAACCATTTATCTAAAATCATATTATCGTCTAGAACCGCTCACCAGTTATATTTAATCAAAATTACAAAATAATAAAAAAACCCTTTAAAATAAAACTTTTGGGATTATCCACAGATTTATTCTGATCTGAAAAATAATTAAATTTTTTGTTATTCTGTATTGAATAAGTTATGAATAAAATTATTTTATTCAATAGCTATAAAAATTATAAAATTTTATATTAAATTATTTGTATGACGATTTACCAATTTAAAAATTTTTAAGACGATTTGTGTGAAACATGTGTCCGGTTTTGAACTACGCCCTATCATAATACCGTGAATATTTGATCGACTGTTAGTATTTATTTATTCTATTACCATCTAATAATAATGACTTGATTGTATTACCTATTATTCATTGTTCAACTATTAATATATAGAAACCTTATAAAAAATTTGTATGCTCATTGTTATATTGTATAAAATTATATTAAAAATTGAGCCCACTTATCATAATTTTATCAATGTTTGTATCAAAATAATTAATTACTACTTATATTTACTTAATATATGTTTATTAACATTTATTGTCTG